CGTCCATTTTCTCCCTGTATGAGTCTGGGTCCCCAGAGACTCACCCGGAACTGGAGTTCAGAGCAGTTGGGGGCTTGTGACTCCCTCCCGATTCAAAAAGACAGCCGTGTCCTCAGTTGCCAGCCCTTGCCGCGTGTGCCTCCGTACCTCTGCACCTCTGCACCTCCTCTGAGTCTCAGTGTGCTTTTCTCTTTCCTTCTAGTTCTAGAATTTCCACTCAGCCAGCCTTCCTGTGGTTCTGGATGATGTCCGTTTTGTCTTTTAGTTGTATTTTTGAAGTGGTTGTGCGAGGCAGCAATTTCTGGTGTTTACCGATGCCGCCATCTTGGTTTTTTTCGGGACCCCGTTTGTTAACACTAGTGGACTCTGGGAATAATTTCCAAATCAGAGTGAAGAAACACACAGAGGGCTGCACTTTTTATAACCTTCTGGGGTCTTTGTCTTGCAGATATAGTTCCGCCCCCTTTTGTGGGTTTTCAGGAAGGCCCCCGGGTGTTGGGGGTCCCCAGGCCATATCCAATGATCTGTCCTGGGGCCAGCAATAAGGACCTTCCCCCGCTCCCAGGGCAGTTTTTATGGCCTGACATGCCTGGCAAGATCAGTTTCCTCCTCATCCCCCACACCCTCTTGTCCCACAAGCTTCTTTTAGCCTTGTGCAGCAACGACCACGGGATGTTATGGTGAGCAGGGGTGACAACTGCTCTTAGCTACTTCCTGCTGGAAAGGAATGATGACCAAGGGTTTAGCATCCCACTTCTTCCTCTCAGAGGGGTTTGTAGGGAGTTCTGGTTTCAGGCAGGAAGAGGTAAGCAGTGGTCCCACAAATGTAGAATGTTCCTACAGGGGGCACCAGGGGTAGGTGGTGTTTTCAGCCTTGGAGGTAGAGTTTCATAGTTCATCTGGGAGGTGACCTGTTGGATGTTGGCCCTGTGTACTGCTGAAACAAATAGGAGCAACATTAGTTAGCTGCACATTGGCCGTGACAGGTCCTCTCCAATACAATTCCTCCCCCCCACATGCATTTGGTAGTAGAGTTGTAACATGCCACAGGCTGATAAGTATAGCTAACAAAAATCTGGCTTGATTGGGTTTTCTCATGGACTACCCAGTCTAGCATATTTGGGTAGTGAGTTTCTAAGCAAGGAGCAAAGGATGGCATGACAAGGTGTAATCCAACAATTTATGATAAGGCCTTTGTGCTTCTGTGTGGGGAGCAGTAATTTTATGGTGCTTCTGTGTCCCAGCAAGAGCAGATGAGTTCTCCTCCTGGTACAAGTCTCAGATTCTGCTGGCACTCATAAAAAGACAAAATAAGAATTATTAGATAAAACCAGTGATTATCCAGAAATACTAGAGCATGTTACGTTAGGAGGAGATGAGAAAGAAATATTAGTGTTAGGGAGAATTCACCAGGGTGTTATCTGAATTCTTTGGAGCAGGTTGCTTGGCCAGGTCTGCTGTCTTCTTGAGGGTGATCCACAGTGGGTGTTTCTGGTCAGAGGTCACCTTCCACTCAGACTGGATGTCACTTGGCTGGTGGGCTGCCTTCACCCAGGAGTGGTAGATCCAGGTGTTTAGTCCTGCAACCTTAAGAGCTGTGGGGGTGGTTAATATGACTGGATAGGGTCCTTTCCAGGTAGGCTTGAGGGGCTCCTTTTTCCAATCCTTTACCCAAACCTGGTCTCCAGGTTTATAAAGATGTACAGCTGTTCCTACAGAAATGGGTAGTCAGTCAATAACCCACCTGTGGACTTCAAAGACAGTTTTTACAAGTCCTTGTTGTTGTTTCTGTATTTCTAAGTTCCCCATTTCCCCCAAATCTCCCTTTGGCAGAATTAGGGGAAGGGGTCTACCATATAGAATTTCAAAGGGAGAGAAATCTATCCTGGGCCTCGGGGCACAGTGTACCTCCAGGAGTACAAGAGGCAAGATATCTGTCCAGGGTAAGGTTGTCTCTTGGCATAGCTTAGCCATAGCCTGCTTTAGAGTCTGGTTCATGCACTACACTTTCCCTGAACTCTGAGGCCTGTAAGCTGTATGTACATTCCATTTAATTCCTAAAGCGTTTGGCTACCTGTTGTACTATTTCTGCTACAAAGGCTGGGCCATTATTGGAGTCTATGGTCAGAGGCATTCCTACTGTGGAATTATATCCTTCAGCAATGCCTTAGTGACTTCTCTCGCCTTTTCAGTGCGAGTGGGATATGCCTCTACCCAACCTGAAAAGGTGCAAACAAAGACTAGCAGGTATTTATTCCCTCTGCTAGGCCCTATTTCTGTAAAATCTACTTCTAAGTCCTCAAAAGGAGCTTGCCATAGCGCTGAACTCCTATCGGTCTTACAGGACCCTGTTTAGCATTGTTCTGAGCACAGAGGAGGCAACGCTGAGAGACTGAGGCACACAAGGAGGGTAGACAGGCAATTAGGTAGAACCTGCCTAACAAAGCTTCCAAGGCCGCCTTTCCTAAATGAGTGAGTTCATGCTGCTGGAGGACTACCTTATGGGCTAACTGTTCTGGGACATAGACCCTATGATCTGGGAGTATCCACTAGCCTTCCGTTGTTCTCTTGCCCCCTTCTTTCTGGGCCCATTTCTCTTCCTGAGGAGTGTATTTTGGAGGTTCAGGTAATTTGGGGGCCAACATGATCCATGCCAGTGCTGCTTGTTCTTTAGCAGCCAGCTTGGCTGATACTGAGTCTTTTCCTTTCTGGTGACCTTTGCAATGGATGATGGCTATTTCCTTAGGCTCCCAGACTGCTTCTAGTAACTTTAAAATCTCATTCTGATTTTTGATTCCTTTTCTTCCTGCTGTCAAGAGCCCCCTTTCCTTATATATGGCCCCATGGACATGCAGGGTAGGAAAGGCATAGCGCGAGTCAGTGTAGATGTTGGCATGCTTATTCTTACTGAGTTTTAGGGCTCTTACTAAGGCCCAAAGTTCTGCCCTCTGCGCTGACCATCCTTCAGGAAGGGTCTGTGCTTCAATTGTCTAAAAGTTTGATACCACTGCATATCCGGCTCCTCTTTTTCTTCATCTAAGAAGCTGCAGCTGTCTGTGAACAATACCAAGTCCAAGTTTTGCAGGGACCTATCCCTTAGGTCTGCCCGGCTGGAATAAACCTCCTCTAGGACTTCCATGCAATCATGCTCAGGGGCCCCCTCAGCGATGAGTAGAAAGGTGGCAGGATTAAGTGTTCTCACTGCTTCTAATTGTACCCTCGGATTCTCACATAACACTCCTTGATGCTGAGTCATTCGAGAATGAGTCAGCTAGTGCTGCCCCCTTGCTTCCATCAGGGTGACAACAGCATGAGGTACTTTTACATTTAAGTTTTGTCCTAAGGTAAGCTTATCCAATTCCTTGACTAATAATGCCATGGCTGCAAGGGCCCTGAGGCACGGGGGCCACCCGGAGGTAACTGGGTCAATCCGCTTAAAGAGATAGGCTACTGGTCTTTGCCAGGGTCCAAACTCCTGGGTCAGAACTCCTAGGGCTACCCCACTGTTCTGGTGAACAAAAAGATTAAAGTCTCGCATCAAATATGGTAGCCCTAGTGCCGGGGCCTCAGTGACCTTTGCCTTTATGCTGATGAAGGCTTTCTCCTGCTCAGGACCCCATTCAATGGGTGCCTTCTCTTCCCCTTTTAAAGCTTCATAGAGAGGCTTGGCCAGGTCTGAAAACCCTGGGATTCAGATTCAACAGAATCCTGCTGCTCCCAGGAATTCCCGAATCTGCCGCCAGGTGCTAGGGACTGGGATGGCACATACTGCCTGCTTCCTTTCAGTCCCTAGCCTTCGTTTCCCTTGGATGATCCAGAAGCCTAGATACTTGACTTCTTTCTGACAAATCTGTGCCTTTTTCTTAGACACCCGATAACCTGTTTTAGTTAGTAGTCTCAGCAGGGCTCGTGTTCCCTCCCAGCACTGAGCTCCAGTGGAGCTGGCCAGTAGAAGGTCATCTACATATTGGAGTAGAACACACCCAAAGTCCTCTCCTAGGAACTTAGACAGCTCAGATGCTAGTGCTCCACTAAAAAGAGTAGGGGAGTTCTTGAACCCTTGTGGCAGTCTGGTCCAGGTGAACTGCTCCTTGGCCCCTGTAGTTGGGCTTTCCCATTCGAAAGCGAGGAGAGGCTGACTGGAAGGCGCTAATCGAAGACAGAAAAAGGCATCTTTCAGGTCTAGGCATGTAAACCATTACTCCTCTGATGGGATGAGTGCCAGAAGAGTGTAGGGCAGTGATGGCCACCTTTTGAGCTCGGCGTGTCAGCATTTTGAAAAACCCTAACTTAACTCTGGTGCCATGTCACATATAGAAATTTTTTGATATTTGCAACCATAGTAAAACAAAGACTTATATTTTTGATATTTATTTTATATATTTAAATGCCATTTAACAAAGAAAAATCAACCAAAAAAAATGAGTTCGCGTGTCA